GTCGAGTTATACTGTGATGTCTTATCATTTTCTGTCTATCTCCCCTGTCTGTTTTGTCAGCATATACATGACATTCATTTATTCATTCACACTTGCATCATGCATGCACAGTTGTATTTGTTGATGTCTTTGAGTACGTATACCTTGGTTATGTCTATTCAAATAGCGTATTTGATCTTTCCAAATAGAATGTCAACTTAAGCAGAAAGTGCGCCTCCTTTCTAATTTCCCACTGAGTTAACTCTCGTGGAAGAATCTTGCTTCATCTTTCCTTTTCCATCTCTGGATAGGATAAATCCCCATTTGAGTTGTTTCCTCATTGGATGGAGTCTTGTTTGACTGTTTTCTCTCCAGTTTATTCCTGGATTGAGCTTTGTCTCTTGTGAACGATACCCTGTGAATCTCTCTAGGCTGTGAAACCTAGATGGAAAGTGCATTTATTTCGCAATGTAAATAGTTGGTCTCCTCAAGAAGGATTTATTCATGGTTCCCCATTGAAGATGAACTTTATCCCCCAGCAGTGTTATCACCACCTTCTTCTGGAATATCGACATGACAACAAGCGACTGACTCTTTATTTGAGCAGTTTGATTATTTCTGATTTATTTATGACAAATGGCGGTCTCTTCATGATCAGTTTGTCCATCCCCGATGAAATTATTGATTCTCACCTCCAGCAATATCTTCATGATATTTTATGGGTATCTTTGAGAAAACGGCAAGCGACAGTCTCTTCATGGACAACTTGTGTGTTACCAACACCTTCTCAAAACAGCAAGCGACGATCTCTTCATGGGCAACTTGTGTGTTATTGATACCTTTGAAAAAACAACAAGCGACAGTCTCTTCATGAGCAACTTGTTTGTTATTGTCACCTTTGAAAACAACAAGCGGCGGTCTCTTCATGAGCAACTTGTGTGTTATTGGTAATTTTGAAAAGAAACAACAAGCGGCAGTCTCTTCATGGACAACTTGTATGTTATCAACACTTTTAAAAACAACAAGCGGCAGTCTCTTCATGGACAACTTGTATGTTATCAACACTTTTAAAAACAGCAAGCGGCAGTCTCTTCATGGACAACTTGTATGTTATCAACACTTTTTGAAAACGGCAAGTGGCAGCTTCTTCATGAGCAACTTGTACGTTAGTATTTTTGGAAGACAGCAAGTGGCAGCTTATCTATTTGAGCAACTTGTGTGTTATTATTCCCTTGAAGACAACAAGTGGCAGCTTATCTATTTGAGCAACTTGTGTGTTATTGTTCCCTTGAAAACGGCAAGTGGCAGCTTCTTTATGAGCAGCTTGTGGGTTATTGGCAACAAGTGGCAGACTCTTCACGAGCAGCTTGTGTGCTTTGATATTCTTTGAAGACAACAAGTGGCGGACTCTTCATGAGCAGCTTGTATGCTTTAATTTTCTTTGAAGACAGCAAGTGGCGGTCTCTTCATGAGCAGCTTGTATGTTATTGACACCTTGGAAAGATAGCAAGTGGCGGCCTCTTTATTTGAGAAGCTTGTGGGTTTCTGACAATAAGTGGCAGACTCTTCATGAGCAGCTTGTGTGCTTTAATATTCTTTGAAGACAGCAAGTGGCGGTCTCTTCATGAGCAGCTTGTATGTTATTGACACCTTTGAAAAGAAGCAAGTGGCGGCCTCTTTATTTGAACAGCTTGTGTATCCCCAACAATAATGTCTACTCAGCAAATGACATCCCTTCGGAAAAGTCCCATGGGGAAGTTTGTTATTTTATCCTTTTCAAGCGATATCTTGGTTAGAGAAGAAACGTGTTACCGTTCTTGGTAAAATTCAGAAATTAGAGATGTTTATCTCCAGCCACAGTGCTGATGTCAATCATTTTGTTTTCCAGCCACAATGCTGATGTCAATCATTTTCCAGTCACAGTGCTGATGTCAATCATTTTCCAGTCTCAGTACTGATGTCCATCATTTCCTTTTCCAGTTACAGTACTGATGTCAATCATATGCTTTTCCAGTCAAAGTACTGATGTAAATCATTTCTTTTCCAGTCTCAACACTGATGTAAATCATTCAAGAGTCTCTCATTTGAAGTCTATGACTCTGTTTCCCCAGTGGAGTTACAACCTCTTCCTCTGTGGGATTGCTGTATAATGTGCTTGGTTTCTCCAGCATAGTCTGTCTCATATGGCGTCATTCCCCATAAAATTCAGAGCATTACATTCATATCATATCATGAACATAATCGCGATATCTTAAGGCCAAAAATTGTGTATTCTATATTTAAGTCCCTTCAATCTCGTCGAAATGAAGATCCCAATCTTCATATCTCCAGATAGAAGAAACTTAAACAGGGGCAGCTGTTGTACCCCAATTTTTGACCTAAGATCCCATTTTTATTTTTGCATTTTTTAAAGATAAGTCAAGGTCACGAAATACGGTTGGTTTTAACCTCTCACCTTCGAGCTTTGGCTATGCGAAGATCATCAAGTGTTTTGAACATCTTTAGCATATGTATCACTAATTTCTAATCGCATACAAAGGTGTATGTTCATGTTTTCTTTTGCTTCATGTGCAGAGACAGGTCTGAATCAAGAGCATCAGGTGTCGCGCCTCAATTAAAGTTTTGAGTCTCCCAAGCCCGAAGTACGGTTGATTATGGATTCTCGAAGACTGATTCATCAAGGCACAATTGTTGCACCCTAAAGTTCGCCCCTAATATGTTTTAGTCGCACTTTCATATCATATTTTGTTATTTGGTCACAATCATTAGTAAATATTTTCATTCATCATATTTTGCATCATTAGTCGTATTTAAGTTGACCAGAAAAGTCAGTTTAAATCAAAGTTTGCATCGTCTTTTAGTTAAAAAAAATACTTGACATTTCACTTCATGCATTTTTATCTCTTTACTCGTTTCTTGCATTGCTCCAAGTTGTTTGTATGTTGATAATAAAAATATTTTGGTTTTATAGACAAACTGTTAAAAACGATTCAACAATGTGCGAAAATTAGTGAGAAAAATATTTCAAGTTTTCGCCTTTTACTGATCATTTTATGAATCTGCGTTTCGCGTAGATTATGACGGTATGCTCGCTTTATTTTTTCGGTACAGTTCGAAGTCTCGTTTTTAACCTTAAACGTCTGTTTAGTGTAATATTTTTATCATTATTATTTTTGATTTTTGACTTCTTGAATATTTTTTCTTTAATCTTTGTGACATGTAGATTATTTTAATGTGTTCATTTTATTTTTTCGGATAAATTTCCGTCCGTTTTTTATCATTTTCGGTCACTTTGGGTCTTTATTTTTTATTCATAGAATATTCAAAAAAATCATTTTAAATTGAGTTATATTTTATAATTTCGGGTTTTTATTTTATTTTTATCATTTAAGGGTGTTTTTGTCATAAAAATATTAAATGCACTATACTTGATTTTTATTGGTTGTTGACAAAATTTGAGGATTAATGCGTATTGAATAATTTTGAACGGTTGTGATTAATTGTGAAATCAAATTCTGTTTTTTCATTTTTTTCTATATAAAGCTTATTGGAACAGGATACCTATCTCTGGGTCTACTCCATAAAACAAGAACAAAAAGCAAACAGTGACCCTTTACTCTCAATTCATTTCCCTCTCTCTCTACGCATAATCCCTCATCTCTCTTTCTCACAACTCCCCCACACTTTTCCTATTAAAACCACAATCAAACCAAACCACTCTTTCATCTTCTAAGCATCAAACCCAAAATGGAAAAACAAAACAAATCCAATTCACAACAACAATGGAGACCCGACCCATTTCACTCCAACAACAACATGAAACAATCCCATAACAAATACCTTCATCTTCATCCGAAACAGATCCAAATCCGGCCGCACCTTTTTCTCGCCGGAGAACTGCAACTGCGCAGAAAACCGCCGCACGCAGCGCCTGCGTACCAACATCTACAAACCACCACTAACAACCTTCATCACCATCTCCTTGTTCAAACACCCACTTGCTTCATCCACCATTAACAACAATCACACATAATTTTCAAATATGAATGAGAACATGAAGCATTTTCGAAAGAAATTGACAGAATTGGAACTCGAAGCTGAACATCTTCTTTTAGCCCGACATCAGCTGGTTGAGAATGATAAGTTGGGGAATGGGAACAGAGAAGCACTTATTGCATTAAGGAAAAAGGCTCGGACAACAACGAGTAGTGTTCCATCTCCTTTTGGGTCAATAATGAAGGGAGTTTCAAGACCTTTGGTGCAAGAGGTGTGTACCACCTGTGGTAACCATGATTCTTTTGAGCAGACGTGGACAATATTTCCAGGAACTGATCTGTTTGTTGGAATTCCATTTCATGCTGCTCATACTATATTGGAAACAGATCATACTCAGCTTGACTTTGAGGCAAAGAAACTACAGAACCTATGTCCTTTCCGCAAGCTGCACACCATCCCCACCGTGGCCTTTCCATCACACGCCTTCTTCAATGCAGCGAGGCATAATCTCTCAGTGGCGGCTCTTCTTCTCGGTGCTGATTCTAGCTACAAAACAGCATGGTTCAAGCTTCTTATCACCGCTTATGTTCGATTTCACGGCGGACACCTTCGATTGTTGTCTCCGTTCATTTGACTCATCATCCGCTTCTCCTTCCGCTTTCAATTCACTATTTCCGCTCAAGCCTCCATAGAAGCACAACTTCACCGTTCAATATCATCTCAGAATATCATCTTAGATTCGAATCTTAACCTTCTTCAAGCTCCTTCTCCGACTCAGCACTCTTCCGGTTCCATGTTCAACCTCCGCACTCAGTCGACCCTCTTCTGCTGTCGAACCACCACGTAACCCGTCATCCCTTCATTTTTGGCCTTCACACTCTGTCAAAACAATAACCGCAACCTCTTTTTCTTCTACTTCCAACACCCAGCTCCCTCTGCTCGCGTCGAATCTCAGCGTTCATGTTTCGTGCAAACACACAGCTCACGTTATCTGAACTGTGATTCCTTCTGTGTTGTTTCGATCCATGGAAAGCGACGACGAAGAACAGGTGTATGCTGAGTATCTGGAGCGATCTCGTAACCTAAGTCGATTCGATGCTATCGAACCTCCACCACATATATGCGGCGGTATCATCCCCCTTCACATAGCCAACGAAGTTCGCGGCGATCTCATTCCCCTCTGCGAGCTTGCGTTACACAAGTACAACACTGAACAGGGTACCGATTTTGTGTTTCTTCACATTCTCAAGTCAACCCATCAATATGTTTCTGGTACTAATTATTTCATCACCTTTCAAGCTAAATCTCCATATACCCTCCTCTTTTACTGTTTGCTACACTTTTCTTAATTACTTTATTTTATCTATTGTTACTAATTTATTTTTGTTTTCTTTTAGTTTTATTAGTTAATTGATTAGATAATAATGTAGTTTAGCTTTAGACTTAGTAATATTTAGAATTAACTTAATTATTCTTATAATTTTAATAATTGTTTAATCTTTAGTTAACAATTTTATATATTTTGTTTAGTTATTTTTTTTAATGATTTTTCACATGCATTCATGCAATTGCATTTCAATTTCATACTCTGTGATTACTAACATAGACTTTTATAGTTGCAATTTCCTTCATTTTATTTCATACCGCTTATGCTATTGACGAGTTTGTTTATTGTGAAGGTTTTCGATAATTGTTTCAAGCAATTCATTCTCATAGCGCATCAATAACTCTTACACTTCTCCCTTTTACCTTTTATTTTATTTTATTTTACTATTCTGATTTAATATTTGGTACTATAAATATATACTTACACATAATATTTTGACTGTATATTTTACTTGTAAATAAATTCAGGTTTTGAAAATATTATTTTCATCGCATTGTGATTTTATTTTTAATTCCAACTAACTTCTGAAAATTGTGCGGACGCACATAAGTTTCCCATGCTGTTAGATTTCGTCGGTATATCTCTTGTGATGCAGGGATTCTTATCTGACACCGTGAGCTTTATCCACCGCCTTTGTGCTTTATCTGATGCTTGGAGTATTATCTCACGTTAGGTTTTTTTTATGATGTTGTCGGCTTGTGATTTATTTTCACCTAAGGTTTGATATACTCTTAGCTTATTTATTCGTCTGTGGTTTTAAATCCAAGGAAAATGTTTCAACTCAGCTGACTTCATGTCATCAAATACGTCTTCTACAATCGTGCGAATAGCCTCATTCATTTTTTGCTTGTTTACTATTTTTCCAAACTTAAGATAATTTTCCCAAAAGATTCCATTTTCAAACTCATACCTTTTAAGTCAAAACTTCGACATTAGGTTATCACATCTTCAAAATCTCGCCAACACTTATTTTTAACCAAACGAACCATTTTAATCAAACAAACAATTTTAACCAAAAAACAGATATTTCAAAAGGTTCCTGCGGAGTACCGCATATGCATTGGGTGCTAATACCTTCCCATTGTATAACCAACCCCCGAACTCTCGATCTCTTTTTAAAAAACGCATTGTATTTTCATTACTTTTAAATATTACTTTACATTGCATATTTTAGGGTTTTATTTCGCTCTTTTCCCTTTTCCCTTGGAAATAATAAAGCGCGGTGGCGACTCTTGCTTTTGTGAGTCAAGTTAATTAAATAACTTGATCTCTGATTTTCACCGCTACAACATCCTCCACTCATGTTACACTCGAACCATGAGAAAAAGAGGTGTTCTCATGTGCTGCACTCCTCTCCTGGCAAGGTGGTTTATTTCGCACCTTCCACAATCAGTTTTGAAGAACAAACGGGGTTTGAGATGGTCACAATGATTGATGACTCTTAGATATGCTGATATACATTGATCATTGCGGAGAGTTCCCTAATGTTCCTTTACTTGGAATCAGAGGAGGCATTACTTACAACCCGTGTCTGGCTTTGAGACAGTTTGGATATGCACGGAGGGATGGCCTTCATGACATGTTGATTCCTGACATAGTTTTTGACTTCGACAACGATGCACAAGGACTTCGCCAGAGATTTATTAGAGCTTGGAGGATGCCCAACAAGGTAGATAGCAAGACACTGGGGCACAAGAACTCCATTCCCCTTGAACCCTATCTCAAGTGGGTACGAGCCCGCTCCCAGAAGCTTGTGATGCCATATCCGTATGTTCTCCCCGTGATCAAAGAGCCAGTTTTGGAAGGAGAGGTGCCCTACACCATTCAACATCCTGACATGCCAACGTCTTGGGAAGAAATGCAAAAGAGCTGGATCCAACTCAAGGAAGAACGGAATTCTCTTGAAGCCAATTTACATGCCAGTGAGAAGAAGGTCTTGGAGCTCACCCGCCTACTTCACGAGGAAAAGACCCTCAACACCTACATAGCTCCAAAAAGGATGTGCAGTGTCTTTTGGGATTAATTATTTTGTAATGTTTTGCCCATGAGGCCCTAATGTACTGAACAGATTATTTCCTAATACAATGTGTGTTCCTTTTTTGTCTACAACGAATTTGAACTTTCGAACCTTTGAATGCATTGCATAAATAGCATATCATGCATCATGTGCATAGCAGGTACTCTTTTTTTTTACAGGTTGCTTAATCTTCTTCGCTGTTTATTTCAGCCGTCATCATGAATCCTGAATCATCCAATGAACAAGCTATCAAGGCCCTCCAGGCCCAGAACGCCCAGTTTCAAGAGCTGGTCATGAGTTTAGCCCAAGGTCAAGAGGAATTGAAGGCTCTGCTGATGAAGAAGAAGAAGAAGAAGAGAACTGTATTGTTCAACACTGGACGGAGGTTTGGTAATACACTGCAGAATGAGGCTGTTCAAGCTGCTTCCTCTATAGGGAAAGACAGTCCCCAAGGGGGAAGGGTTCCTAGTCCTGTGGTCTCCGACAACGAGACAGATTTCAATGATGAGCAGTACCCTCCTGCTGAAGACAGGTACAAGCAACTAGAGGACCGTCTGAGTGCCATGGAGATTCAACAAGTGCCTGGGTTGGATTTTGGAGATCTAGGTCTTTCTTCTGGGGTGGTGATCCCACACAAGTTCAAGGCACCTTCTTTTGCGAAGTATGACGGGGCTTCCTGCCCTAAGCTACATCTCAGATCTTATGTAAGGAAGATCCAACCTTACACGGCAGACAAGAACTTATGGATCCATTTCTTCCAGGATATCCTTTCAGGGGCTCAACTCGAGTGGTTCTATCAGCTGGATGGAGCCAGTATTCGAAACTGGGAGGACTTGGCTACTGCATTTTATAAGCAGTATCAGTATAATGCCGACCTCGTTCATACCCGTACCCAACTCCAGGGTATGTCGCTGGGATCGGGAGAAGGTTTTAAGGAGTACGCGCAAAAGTGGAGAGACCTGGCTGGCAGGGTGCAGCCATCGTTGACAGACCGTGAGCTCGTGGAGATGTTCTTGGGGACCCTGTCTGGTCCATTCTTTAACCACCTGATTGGTAATTCTTCTACAGGGTTTACAGACCTCATTCTGACTGGAGAAAGGATAGAAGCTGGTATTAAGTCGGGGAAGATACAGAAAGGGGCATCCTCAAGTTCTGAAATGAAGCCTTTCAAGAAGGAATCTAGTGCTGTTTATGGGTCGAGGAAACAGAGTAAACCGGAACGCCGCCAAGTTGTCAACGCGGTGGTAATCTCAAAGCCTGCTGCCACTCCTCGGCAATATAACCAACCAAGGGGTGAGAGACCCAGAAGAGAGTACACTCGGCTTAGTATGACCTTGTCTCAGATCTTGCCGCAACTGCTGTCAACCAACCTGGTAACTATCAAAGAAGCTCTGAAGGTAGTGAACACGACCTCTCCGAAATACAACCCCAACGCCCGTTGTGCTTATCACTCTGATAGCCCGGGGCATACTACTGATGATTGTTGGGCTCTAAGGAATAAGGTTCAGGACCTTATTGATGCTAAGGAAATACAGTTCAAGGCGCCCGAAAGGCCCAATGTTGTGACTGCTCCCATGCCCCAACATGGAGTGAGTGTTGTGGAAGAAGACCGGTATGTAGCCTCCGTGGAAGAGATTGTTACTCTGTTGTTGACGGTCAAAAGGAACCTGTTGCTAGCCGGTTTATTTCCGGGATGTAGTAAAGGTTGCCCTCTATGTTCTGTTTCACCTGCTGGTTGTCCTTTGCTGAAGTCAGGTATCCAAAGCCTGATGGATAATAAAGAGATCTTGTTCGAGAAAGTTGTTGTTCCTGTTACCCCTACTTAAGAAGTTTCCATTATCACTATTGTCAACAACTCTCCTAAGGCTCCCTCAAAGAAGCCTGTCAAAATCATGTTTGTTGCACCTATCATCATTACTGTTCCGGGGCCCCTCCCCTATACATCTGACAAAGCTGTCCCGTGGCACTATGTGGCAGATGTTTATGTGCTTGGAGTGAAACAAGAATTTGGTACTAGTACCAGCATCAGTAACATCACTGGGCCTGCCAAGGTTACTCGTAGTGGTAGGCTGTTCTCACCAGATATTGCACCACCAGCCATTCAAAGACCTCTTGTTATCACACCTGCCAGTGTGCCTGCTTCCCTTCCTGATCAAGTTCCTGTTTCTACCCCTGTTGCCGAGTCATCTGACGCTCGGGGCAAAGGGGTTGTTGCTGATGTGCCTGCCCGGATGGAGGCACCAAAGACAACCACTGTTGAAGCTTCCAAGCAAGAGATGGAAGAGATCCTCAAGATCATCAAGAAGAGTGATTTCAATGTAGTTGAGCAGCTGGGGCACACCCCATCAAAGATTTCTATGCTATCACTGTTGTTGTGTTCAGAGGCCCATGCCAAGGCCTTGATTTCCTTCCTGAAGACGGCCCACGTACCACAAGAAATGTCTGCTGATCAATTCACTGATTGTGTGGCCAACTTGACTGCTGATAATGGGTTAGGTTTCTCTGACGCCGATCTGACTGCCAAGGGAAAGAACCATAATGATGCCCTGCATGTCTCCATTGAATGCAGGGGCACTACCCTTGCCCATGTGCTGGTTGACACTGGTTCTTCATTAAATGTATTACCCAAGAAAGCTCTAGATAGGCTGGATTGTGAGGTTTTAGAGCTCAAGCCAAGTAACATTATTGTCCGGGCCTTTGACGGTTCGAAGAGGATGGTACATGGTGAAGTCGACATTCCAATCAGGGTCGGTTCTCAAGTTTTTGATTCTACTTTCTATGTGATGGACATCCGACCATCCTATTCTTGTTTGCTGGTTCGTCCATGGATCCACAAGGCCGGAGCTGTGACCTCCACATTACATCAGAAGCTTAAGTACCCGGTCAGAGGGAGGATTGTTACAGTGCAGGGGGAGGAAGAGTATATGGTCAGCCACCTTAATTCG